CCACACACAGTTGTCACTGTGCGGTTGGGCCTATTGACAGGGACGTGGCTCCTTTCTGGCCGGAGGGGCTGAGGTGAGCAGGAGACTGAAGGGGAAGGAAGGCGGGGACAGCACCTGGGCACTGGCCTAAGCCCCTCTGGACGGGTCTTCGGAGCCTCAGGCTGGGGGAAGCCCAGCCCAGGCCTCCGCAGACCCCCTGAGGCAGGCTTATAGTACTTCCTTCTGGCTCAGGTTTTGAAGGGTGCTACATCCTAAACTATCTCGTGGAGCCCCTCAGCAGCGTCACAAAGCAGGTATTAACCCCTTTTTGCAGATGAGGACACTAAGGTCTCAGGCGGTGAAGAAGCTTGCCCAAATCTCCCATCTAGAAAACATCAAATCCAGGAATAGAAACCTGGGCCCCTTCCTCTCCTCACATTTGTCGAATGGATATTCCCACCCAATTATAGTCTCATGGGGTATGCTCAAGGCCACCCAGCTTCTCCGTCTTGCCTCATTCTCTGCCACCTTAACAAAAGGACTGAGGGCAGTGACAGAATCCTTTGACCGTCTTGCAGCCTCAGCCAAAGAGCTCTGGGAAAAGAATGCACTGGGCTGAGTGTTTGGAACTAAATTTCTGTTAGTTTACTTACTAGTCATAGATCTGCATTGAAAGCCCAGGGTCCTGGTTCTGGCCCAGAAGCTGACTTGCTGTATTAGCTCCATTAAGTGCGTCATTTTGTCTTATTGGCATTTTCATAAACTCTGAGACTCTAAGAAAGGGCCTCAGGGCTCCTCTGGCTCAGCTCTGTCTTGGAAGAACCATTTCCCGGCACCCCTGAGAGACAGCCACCCAAGCCAGCTCTTCCAGGCATGAGAGTTCACCCAGCCCAAGGAGCTACATCCATTCCTTTGCAGGACAGCCTGGGCCCATCCTCTCCTCTGGGGCAGCACTTTAGCCTTCTTGTGTCACTACCACTCTACACTGGTTAGTTATGCCTTAGGACCTTATGGCAGAGAGGATTTCAGATAACTTACAAGGGTACCAAATCATAGCAAAACAACATGAATTAGAAAGTAAGCTGAAAGGAGATAAGTGAAATGTTTAACCACTGTGGACTGTGAAATTCCAGTGGTAGGATAGGGAGCATAGCAGTTAGGAGCACATGCTCTGGAGCCAGAGTGTGCCACCGGCACGTTTTGCAACTTTCTGTGCCTCATTTTCAAAAGGGGTACAATATCATCTACCTTATAGGGCTGTGAGCATCAAATGAGTTGACATGAATATTATAGCTTATCATATGTATAAATATTGTACTTATATAATCTACATCAATATATGTTCACATATATGTATATGTAAATATACATAAAGGAAGGCACATAGTAAGTGGATATAGAAATGTTAGTTCTTAGTATTAATTTGCTAGATCTTTATAGAAATTTGAAATTATTTAATAAATAAATTGAATTAATAAAATTATAAAATGAAAAAAGCAATAGCCCAAAACACACTATGCACAGTATACTGTCATTTTTATTTTTTTTTAAATATGCATACAAAGACAGCATTGTTGATTGTGGTTATCTCTAGATAGTGAGATTAGAGGTGGTTTTTATTTATTTTTGCTCGTATATTCTCGATTTTGTGTAGTAAAATAAGAAGGAAAGCTAAGAGGAAAAAGAAAAACCAAAAGGGGAGACCAAGTAGAGATGGGAATGAAGCCAAAATGCACCCTGGAGTGCCCTTTTCACTTCCTGTGGGTGGGCCGAAAATTTGTCCCTAAGTTTCCCCCTCCCACCTCCCTACCCCCACCAGCCAAAATGAAAAGGAGACCGTGTCAGTTACACAATTCCCAATGTCCATGAGATAAACACAGACCTATTACTCAAGAGAATTACAACTATTCTTGAGACTAAAATCAACCAGGAATTTTTCCGGGGGGGGGGTGTCATAAACGGAACACAGTGGGAGGTGCCGAGCAAACACTCTCAGCAACATCCCCCTAACCGTCACTGCAGTGGGCTCTGTGGGGCAGTTGTTGTGATGGCCACAATATCAGCTGATGGCAGCACACCAAAACACAGGAAAAGACACACTGACAAGGAGGGGGCTGACAAAGGCAAATGAGAGCGCCCCGCTCAGCACCCAGCCTGCTTGGTCACCAAGCGCCCTCCAAGAAGCCTGCCTTCCTTCCCCTGCCTTTTCTGTCCTCAGAGCTTCTGATGGCCCTTGCACGGCAACAGGTTTGAAAGTACACTCCCTGCCAGCTGAGCTTAGGTCAGTGGTCTTCTGAAGGGGAGTTGGGGGAAAGCTTTCCACTTTGATCGTGGTCACCTAGGCCTAAGCTTATCTTCTTTAGTAGTTCCTGGTGAGCAGGACTGTCTCACCTTGTGTATTGGAGGCCTGGAACATTCTGGGACACAATAGAACCTGTCTACCTCCATCCAAACCCACCTCCCTGTCACTTGTACGGTTGGTCCAATTCCAGCTCCACGCAGCAGCCCAGACCAAGGTTCTGCCTCTTCACATTTTTGAAATCGGCTCTCTACCATCCCCATTTTAGGTCTTCTAGGCTCAATGTTCCCGGTTCTTTTAAAGATTTCTCACGGGACATTGTTTTCTGACTACTCCGCAGACTTTCCCAATGCCCTCTAATTTGTCATTGTCCCTTCCAAAAGCATGCTACCTTTTGAGGGGACAGATGAAAAAAACAGATGTCCAAGTGTTGTGAGAGCTTCTACAAGTGGGGGTTGTAAATACCCAGCCACACAGACTGTCAGGCTCTAAGCAGCGGGATCCATGGTACAAACTAGAGTTCAAAACACAACTATGTGGCTGTTGGGTGAGAGAGCAAATTCCCAGGTGTTTCTGCAAGGACTGTGTCAGGAGGGGGAGCTGCCATTCTTGGCACCCAGCCTTACCTGAAGCCTGAGGGTCACCCTAGGAAGCAGAGAATGTGGCAGTTTCCAGAAAACTTACAAGTAGCCAAAACAGAAGGAGGGAAACAGTAGAGTCAGGTGTCCTAGAAACCAACAGGCAAGTTCAAGGGAGGAGGGGCAGTGAGCAGTGTCACAGGCTTTCAAGGTCGAGATAAGATCTGAAAGGAGCCCTTTGGACTAAAATACAAGGAAGCCACTGGTGACCTTGGCCAGCAGTGGCCGTGAGGAGTGGTGAGGACAGAAGCCAGACTGCCTCAAGTTACGCAGTGAACGGGAGGTGAGAAAGTAGAAGACAGTGAGTGTAGACACCTTTCAAGAAGTGTGAAAACAAGTGGTAGGAAGGAGGTAGGGTGATAGCAGG